CCTTCACGCTCCTCCTGCATCCCCCCGCTCCCCAGCATCCCGCTGCCCCCCTCAGTGTCCTCCCCCCCCCCTGGAGCCGCTGCCCGCAGTGCCCCACAGCAGCCCCTTCTGCCCTCCAGGCCTGGGCCATCTACAAGGGCAAGTACCACGAGGGCACGGACAAGGCCGACCCGTCCACCTGGAAGACGCGGCTGCGCTGCGCCCTCAACAAGAGCACCGACTTCCAGGAGGTGCCCGAGCGGAGCCAGCTGGACATCTCCGAGCCCTACAAGGTCTATCAGATCGTGTCCGATGGGGCCCGTGATGCAGGTGGGTGCCCGGCTGCCCCTGGCACGGGGCTGCTGTGGAGCTGGGGCTCCTCCGTGGCCCATGGGCCTCACTTGCCTCCCCAGGGCTCTTCCTCGGCACTGCCAGGCCAGGCCGCTCTGCAGCCAGCGGGGCAGGGAGGACGGGAGGGTGAGGAGAAAAGCTCACCCGTGCCCTGGTCACATCGTTAATGCGATCCCATCCTGGGAGCATCCAGACACAGGGCGGCTCCTCCGGCCACCCCGGGCTGTGGATCGGGCTGGGGTTGATTCCCAGGATCCCGGCAAAGAGGACACGAAGCCCAGCCACGTTCTGCCGGGGCTCAGCGGATTTTCCCGTGTCTCCACAGACAAGGATGGCCACACAGAGTCGCCAGGTTGCAAGGAGCAGCGGCTGAGCCGGCCCTCACCCTCCAGGCCCTCTGGCACCAACCTCAGCTCCTGGCCAGAGAAGGTGGGAGCCCCCCTCACTCTCCAGCCCTTCCAGCTTCCCACAAGTTCCCTCTGGCCATGTCCTCACCCGGCCGCGCTCACGGGTGCTGCTGTCCCGGCAGGGCAACACCACGGGGAGCCCGGCCATGGAGAGACTCACGAGGCACAGGCCCTCAGCTCCTGGCCAGAGAAGGTGGGAGCCCCCCTCACCCGCCAGCCCTTCCCGCTTCCCACAAGTTCCCTCCGGCCATGTCCTCACCCGGCCGCGCTCACGGGTGCCGCTGTCCCGCCAGGGCAACACCACGGGGAGCCCGGACATGGAGAGCCTCAAGGGTGAGACGGAGACGGCGTCGTCGCTGACCCCATCCCCTGCCCACCCTGCAGACCGGGGTAAGGCAGCACCAACTCCTCTGCCGTTCGGGGGCGCCGTGGACGGCTCTGGATCTGGCTCCCGGGGCTCCGGGGAAGCAGCAGGATGGGGCTGGGGTTGAGGGAGCTCCCCGGGGTTCCGTGGGAGCAGAGCCCGTCGCCTGCCCCTGCGCTCTAATGAGAGCTGCCAAACATGCAGCAGCAGCGAGGAGCGCCCCGGGATGCGCGGAGAGCCCCTGTGGATGCGGGTGCTGCGGACCCGCAGGACCCCTTCACCATCCTGCCCTCTGCCCCGACCCAGGGTACCACGTGCGGGGCCTTTTCTATGGCTGGAACCCGTCCGTCGGCCCCCTGTTCCCGGGACCCCTGTCCTATGGCCCCACTGAGGACATCAACCACTCAGGTAGGAGCCCGTCCGGGATCAGGGCAGGGCTGAGATCGGGTTCCCCGCTGGCTACCCCACTTTGGCCCTCGCTGCAGGGGCTGGGGGTGATATAGGGGACATGGGGTCCTCAAGGGAATCCCGCCTGGGACACGGGGCGCCCAGCAGCTTTCCCTGTGGGCTGCCGTGTCACCAGCGTCCCCGCGCTGACGCCTCGCTCGCGCAGACTGCTGGCGCCCCGTGCGCCC